GCCTGTTTAGGTGAGTTATTTTCACGGCATCTTTGATATCTTTTCTCAACGGACCACCCACATGTAGATTTCAAAGGGCAAATGTTCAGGGACTTTGTAGAATCAATAGGGAATCACAATGTGGTGTTGAATCTCCAAATCAAACCGCAGAGAGGTTCAGGTTAAAGCCTTCTGGAGCCGGGTCTCGGATTAATTTCAGTGAGGTAACCCTTCTTGCTGTAGTTCATCAAATTCAAGGAGACCTTTGAATTTAACAACCTTGCATTAGGTTCTGTTTTATAGGGAACTAATGAAAGCAGTGTACTTCTCAAAACCATCGTATGTACCCTTTGGCCAGAAATTCCCTAGTCACACTCTGCCAAGAATAAGGAGTCCTTGAATCTCAGCCACTTGGTGTATTACAAGAGATACTATATCTTTTAAGTGTACTGTGTTTGTTTTGTGAGAAAGTGAGACCGTCTTGTTGTAATGAAGTGATTACAATATTCTGTCTGCGTACAAGTTTATCAGCTCCAAGGCCAGACGTTTTCCTGAGGAAAGTGATTGATTCCCAACCAGTGGAAACATGTGGGATCTGTGCAACTCGTGCCATGCCTCCTTTTATAAATATCACCATGAGCATTTCCCCCTAGCAGAACATGACATAAACAGAAGGAGGGTCATTTGAGATGGACTGCTGTGAAATGACAAATCAGACCTCCCGTGTTGAAAAAGGGAAAGAAAAATCTGCCGAAAGCCAAAAAGAAACATAATCCAGTGCATTGTTAATTTTACCATCATTCTTAACTGCTCTGCGCTCAAGTGCTCCAATCCAGCCGACACGCAACATGACGGCATGTTTGATTAAAGATATACAAGATGAGATATTATGCAACATATCATACTTCAAATGAGATTTTTTTATGATTGTAATTTAAACAACCTTGTTTATTGTTAACAAGATTGCATACCATTTCATCCATCTGACCAGGAGCTGAGGAACTGTACAGAGGGCGCAACCAACGATCATTTTTTATTAGCAATGAACTGACAATCATTTGTTCAACTGACAATTTGGTTATGATATCGCCTTGTTTAATCTGAACCACAGTTTAAAACGGCACAATATCAAATGAACTAATGTAAAATGAAGACCAGCAGCAAATCCTTGAATTTGAGAAGCTGAAACCAGATGTTTGACATTTGATTTAGACATTAATTTTTGGTGATTAATGGATCATCAAAAAAGTAGAAGATTCAACCAACCTATGCAGCTCACAGATTACAGGCACAGGCGCCATTTCTGCTGATGGGCCCGTAATTAACCGTCTGCAAAAACCATAACCTACATTGGAAAGTAATTATCACTACCACTAAAACAGTTTTTTCTTAAGTTAGAAAACGAAAGGTTGAAAGGAAGGAAGGAAGGAAGGAAGGAAGGAGGAGAGAAGGAAGAAAGGAGAGAAGGAAGGAAGAAAGTAGGAAAAGGAAGGAAGGAAATAGGATAGAAAGAAAGGAAGGAAGAAAGGAGAGAATGAAGTAAGGAATGAAGGATAGAAAGAAGGAAGAACAAAAAGACACATTTTTTATAAGAACAAAAGACAGACAGAACGGTTGACAGAACTGAATTCAAAAGTATGAATTACTTTGACATTCCAGCATCCCATTCCTCATATACCCATAAGGCCACTCAGCAGCAGATGTGGCGCAGGCAGCTGTTTCAGCTGTGAAATCTCTGTGCTGACCTCATGTCTCCTCTTCCTGCAGACATAAACGAGTGTGAGGACATCAGTGACAAGGTGCCCTTGTGTCAGAACGGGCTGTGCAGCAACACAGAGGGCTCGTACAAGTGCACCTGTCTGAGCGGCTTCTTGGCCTCCGCAGAGCCGCACAGATGCATCCCAGAGATCCCAGCGTCTGGGCTTCTGGAGACAGGAAACTGAGACAGACTGCTCCCTCAAAGATCACCTTACACCCCTCTGCCCTTTTCCCCAGGGCCCTGGCACTAAACCTGCAACAGTAACGCTTAGACGTCCAAACTCATTTCCCTACACACACAAACACACACACTCGCATTCAGCACAGAACACATTAATATCCCCCTCACACACATCCAACAGGAGCAGGAATTGTGCAGTGAATGTATAACATGGGATTTAGTATTCACCAGATATCCATTTGCCTTAAAGGGATTTTGTGGACTGATCTATTTTTATTCAGTAACCCCAGGCAGTTTGATATGCAGATATATTTTCCACATTATTTTCTCTGTCACTTTCTTTTGTTGTGTTATTTATTTCATTTACATGACGGGGCTCTGCAAACTAAGAAAGTGACCTTTTTCAGTGGGCATACATGGATTTCTCCTTTTGTATTTGTCTCACCTCAGAGACAGAGTGGGGAGATAATAAATGTGTTTATAAAAGAAGGAATGTTAGAGAGAATCAGCCACTCATAAATCAGCTTGAGCCTCACCATCAAACCTCACACCAGTTTTCTCACTCACTCATTGTAATTAGCATCGACCTTGGACTAAATGGACGCCAGGGTTGATAGACATCTGAAATTAAAGGAAAGAACCACCTTTCTCTTCTTCAAGATTAACCACGAGCTGAAGAATCTCTGGACCCAGAAGTGAGGAGTGAACACAGCCAAACTACACATTCAAAACGTCAGCCTTTAAGTGGACCTGGAAAGACTGTAGATGTATATGATGATCTATGTAATGTTTAAAAAAAAAAAAGGTGCAATAGGTATAACCTGCCTTCCTCTGTTTAACACCCTTTTTATGATCTTAATACCAGCAATGAAGTAGGAAAACATGGACTCGTTTGCTGATCCCATTTTATTTTTAACAGTATTAACTTGTTTTATACAGTATGTCTGTGAAAACCATATGTACCATGACCTATAGGCTACATTCTAGCCTTAAACCACAGGAAGGTAAGTTAGTTAAAATTATCCACAAATATCACAGCTTGAAGTGAAAGTTTTATGAACCAGGGTCACACATCAGACCATTCCCACGTGTGCATCTCGAATGCATGTAAAGACACAGGCTTTGTTGGAGAGGTTTGGTATATTTTGTACAGATCTAGTACTATGTATTATTTTTGTTACATATTCTCTTAATGCATTATAGCACAACCAATATTTTGTTTGACATAAAACGTAAAAATAAGAAAAATCTGGCATTATAGCTTTGTAGATTTATACATGTCTGTAAAAATGTTTTTTTGTTTTTTTTTATGTATGAGGAGAGTGGCTGACACTGTACCAGAGGAACTGTGTGTATACCCTGCCCTGTGGAGCAGACAATGAAATATATTTTTTTGGAAGTGGCAGCACTGTTCTAAAAGACATTTTGTCTCTTCAAGTTCATTACAAAGACAATGCTTTTGAAATGCAAGCACCAACTCCTGTGCGTCACAACTCACATTTATGGCTAAATATTAGTAATTGTGAACATTATTTCTTTTAGTCTCCGTTTGACCCTTATGTCATGAATGTATCATAGACAGTACCATGTGGTTTCTGAACTCCCAATTATACCTTTTTGTGTTTTATATTCAGGTTTAGAATATTTGTCTAATGGACTAAACTTCTTCCAGCAGTGCAGAAACATAAAAGTCGGATTCCAACATGGAGAAGGACTAAAGTTGATTATACTCTTAACATGCATTTGTAACCTATAAACCTAGAGTTGTACAAATGTCTCCACTTGATGTCCACTTTTCTGTGCTGTATTCATCAGCTAACCCGGATCGGAAGTCTAACATTTAGGTCAAAGTTGGAATATTTAAAGCCTTTCAAAACTGCAAATAACTTGCAATAAATGTCTTGTTTTAAAGCTGTGGTCATTGGAAATGTATGCTCATTCATTTTGTTTACCTCTTGACTGTAATCACTATCAGTCATCAAAATAAAAACTTTAAAAATATATAAATGTCTTTGAAAATTTACTTTGACAAATGGGAAAAAACACACCATGCTTTTGCCATGTGTTTGAAATGTATATTAACATTGTACATTTTTGCTGCCAGGGAAGTTTATTTCTACCAAAACAATAACAGTAAGTTAGTCAGTTGTAGTAACTTTTAACGTGGGAGGTAACAAGTCAGATGTGTGTGTTTGGCAGCGAAAATAGATGTATTCAGATCCTTTACTGGAGTAAAAGTAATACCACAAAGTAAAAAAACTATTTTACAAGTAAATATTCATGAATTGTTACTTCGTAACGTACTTTAAGTTATCGAAAGTATTTAATATGCAGAAAAAACGATACAAGATTTTTACATCAGTAAATACTATTATTATTGGATTATCAAATCATTGTTTTTGAATTAATTGGCATAAGCAACATTGTAATGGTACAGGTAGTTAAGGCATAACTAACTTTACCTAATTCATACACTTTTTGGCAGTTTAATTTATCATAATGTGACCCTTCATGTTATATCCGTATTTGTTTTGAGTGTAAAAAGATAATCTAAAATGCTGCTATAAACTGCCAAATAAATGAAGAGCAGAGAGCAATATTATCTTATAATTCCTCTGAAATGCAGTTAAATTGTAGCATTAAGAAGCACAACATTTAAATTGTATTTACAGACAACTTGAGCAAAAGCACTCATTTTAAATTATTTACCAGTGGTTTTAAGGTATTTGACTACAGATACAGTATGAACCCAGTCTAGATAAAGTTAGAACTTGGGACAGGGAATGCCAGGTGGATTACATTCTACACAACAGAAGAGAGAGAAACAAGTTAGTTTCATAAAGCATCTTTGTTAGTATTACAAATGATGTATTATACTATATCGCCCTCTTGTGGCCAAATAGCACTGCACACCACTACTTTTCCATCTCTACCATAATAATTCCCCCATTGGTTAAACGGGGACGAGAAGATATTCCAGATGGATTCTGGGTAAATGTGTTTACACCTCACCCACCAAGTCAACCTAAATTACGCAGTGGAATACATTTCCCAGAAACCACCTCGCTTAATACGTGTTTGAGTCGAACTGCAACCTCCCGTGCTATCGCTGTGTTGCTAATGTAAATCTTTTAACTGTTTGAGCCGATAGAGACCTTTAACAATTATCATATTTTTTTTGTGAGGAATGCCGACATTTAGCCAGTGGACACTTGGTTAGCAAGCTAGGATAAGTATGCTTTTATCGTTAAAATTGTATCAATAGCCTGGCTACACTGTAACAAAATAGTATGTGTGATAATTTGTTGACTAGGAAAGGTGAGACATTCTCTGTCAATATCGCCTTTTTTATTACGTTGCAATGTTGACGACTCACACCTGTTGCTCAAGTATTACATCTAGCTAAAAACTAGCTATGCTCAATTTAGATATTAGTCCCAGACAACACAGTTCATCCAGATATCAACTTTAGCTATTTAAATATATAGGTGGGAAGTGGACTCTCCCGGTCTGGAAGGGGATCTGGTCCATTTATTACAGGTTGCATTTCCTCATGGCAAAAGAAGAATGCATAACACAATGGAACAAAACAGGGGACACTTCAACACTACGAAACAGGAAAATATGTCTCACCTCAGAAAAGACTCTCCAAGCCCCATCCACCTCTTTGTCAAAAGACAAACACAGTCACACTGCTGGACATTTGTCAGAAGATGACACCCAGTCTTCAAATGGTGCTCAGTTTTCCACCAGAGGAAATCTCAGTAAGGATCCTCCAAGCAGGGTGCTGCTGATGTTGCTGGTGGGGCTGTCTTTCTCCACACGCCTCTACAAGATAACAGAGCCCCCTCATGTATGGTGAGTTAAAGTCATGCATGTAGCCTACAAAGATTAAGTTGGATCATAATTTGCAATGTTTAAAACACTGACTAATTTTGGTGTTTCAGCTGGGATGAGACACACTTTGGAAAGATGGGGAGCTACTACATCAACAGGACCTTCTTTTTTGACGTCCATCCTCCTCTTGGAAAGGTGGGATGAGATCTTATCCCTTTTGTATAGCGTCTTCTGGAAAACGTCTTTATTATGATTATTGATCTCCATTAATGTGTTGCAGATGCTGATTGGTCTTGCTGGGTACATGACCGGTTATGATGGCTCCTTTCCTTTCATAAAGCCTGGAGATAAATATGATCATCACAACTACTGGGGGATGAGAGGGGTATGTTTCTTTCAACACAAGCAGACCTGCTTTTGTCTCATCGATTAAGAAGGATCTTGAATGTATTCATATTATTTTGTCCCAACTTTAAAAGGACCAGCCATTAAAGGTAGGTAAGAATGGAGAAACCAGCTCGAGTGCGCTATAATTTGAAACTACACAGCCGAAACTTCCTTACAGAGCCCATCCTCCAACACACACGAACGTGCACATGACCAATGAGGGCACAAGATAAGTTTGTGCTGTGATGATTGGTCGTGCTTTTTACAGCGCCACGGCTTCCACATTTTCATTTTTTTAATGTATTTATTGTCAAAGCATTTAATGTATTCATTGGTATCGGGATGTTAAGAGCATTCCATGGAATATAACAAAAGTGTTTCTGAAGTGAATGACTTACCCCACCTTTAAGGCTGCTTATTTCTGTGTTCTCCCCCCTGCTTTACAGTTCTGTGCCGTGCTTGGCTCCTGTCTCCCAATCTTTGCCTACCTCATAGTGCTGGAGTTGTCTCAGTCTCAAACTGCTGCCCTCATCACTGCCACCTTGCTCATATTTGGTGAGTAATCTCCTTGTTTAAAAGGTTTGCACAAATTCAAAACATGTTAAAGTTGCAATTGACTGACCGTCAAGCTGTTTATAAACAGTTTCTTTTGACACATGAAGAGTATGTTGTGTACCTTACGAGCATTTATTTAAAATTCAAATTACGCTGTTCGAATAACGAGAATGAATTTGTGATTAATTTACTGCTTTCTACAGACACTGGCTCTATCACCATTTCCCAGTACATCCTGTTAGACCCTATACTCTTGTTCTTCATCATGGCAGCAGTGCTGAGCATGGTCAAGTTCAACCAGCAGAGATACAGGTAGGACACCACTCAGACTTTGTATTTAGCTTATTTTCAATCTAGTCTCATGCAATGCAGTGGTGAAACTATGTCAGTAGTCCATTAGTCAATTAGTTGGCACACAGTAAAATCAACGATGATTCCACTGTCTTTCAGGTACAAATGCAATGCTTGTGATAACTTTTTTAACTTATATCAAATCATTTAAATTCAAAACTGCTTACTTTTTTGGCATACAAATAGAAACGACCTGTTGTGGACTTGTGTTTTGTTATAAAATATGGACAATTGTCTTTATTGAGGAGAATGTCTTTACCAACTGGTTACAATAACTATCTTTTTGTCGCTGCTTTTTATTGAACTATTCATATCTTAGACTGCACTGTAACTTTTATCCATGTATTTTTTCTTTTAATGTTTATTTTATTAACTTTTCTTTTTAATGACTGATTTTAAATGCCATTTTCTTAATGTCTTTCATTTTTTGTAAAGCACTTTGAATTGCCTTGTGTTGAAAAGTGCTGTATAAATAAACTTGCCTTGCCTTACTAAAGCAACACGGAATCAAATCTGGTTTGAGTTTTAGTTTAGGTTTTCATGGCCAAGGAATTTGCTTTCATATTTTAATGTAAAACATTAAAATAGTAAGAAAACATTAAAATAGTGAATAAGAAAATCTCAGATTAGGAGAAAACTATAATACAAATACTTGACATATAGCCGAAATAACTGATGCAGATTTTAAGAAGTTGTCACTTGTGCAGGAATGTGCAAAATTGTCCAAGGAATATGCAAAGGTTCACAGTATGAAGTCTGCATACGTATATGAGATGCATTTTAAAACAATAGTAATGTGTCCTCATGTTTTTCCAGTTGTAAGCAGTACATTGATTTTGTTCCTGCTTGCTTGCTGTTGTTCTTAGGCCCTTTGCTGCCTCCTGGTGGCTGTGGTTGGTACTGACGGGTGTAAACCTTGCTGGGGCATTAGGGGTGAAGTTTGTGGGTCTGTTTGTCATTCTGTTGGTGGGACTGAACACAATCTGGGACCTCTGGAGAATTCTGGGAGACCTGAGCCTCTCACTGGTAAACAGCAGAATATTCTGAATGGCACTGTTACAGATATTGTTGATGAGCAGCACCTGAGGTTTGACTGTTTTTTGTTTATTTCCTGGCTCCAGGTTGAAATTGCAAAGCACTTCCTGGCTCGGGTTGTTGGTCTCATCCTGTTTCCACTTTTCCTCTACGTTACAATATTTGCAATCCACTTTGTTGTGTTGAACAAAAGGTGCGTCTGATCTCTTAAACTATAGATACAGATTGATATTACCCCTCACCTCACACTCAATAGTGCTCAGTATCTACGTTGTTGAGGTCATCATGATTTTGTTTTCTGTCACCAGTGGACCAGGAGATGGTTTCTTCAGTTCAGCCTTTCAGTCCCGACTGATCGGGAACAATCTACACAACGCATCCATGCCTGAGTGTGAGTCCTAAACACACCTTTGAATAAAAGCACATTATGTTGGAGCTGTGTTTACTAAAACACAAATCAAACAATGAAAAGGGGGTTAAAGAAATGTAGGCTTTCCCTTAGTAATGTTAACAGGCAGACTGATGTGTGTGCTTACATTTTGCTGTCTTCACAAAGTGACTATTCTTTATGCTCCGTTCCTTGTGTTGATGGCTCTTTGAAGCCTAAAATTATGATTAATTAAAATGTGTAAGTTTCTTTTCTTTTGTAACAATGTGGATGTTGTTCTCCTTATATAGACCTGGCATTTGGCTCCACCATCACAATTAAAAACCTCCGGATTGCTGGAGGATATCTGCACTCTCATTGGCACTTATACCCAGAGGGAGTGGGATCAAAGCAGCAGCAGGTCAGGCTACAGTGTGAAACATTATCAAATATAATTATAACTAGCTATTTCCTTTTATAGTTATTGTAAATAAACAGCTTTCCCTGCCATGTCCTTACAGGTGACAGCCTACCTCCATAAAGACTACAACAACTTGTGGCTCGTTCACAGACCGGATGAAAATGAATGTGAGCACATGGGGTTGATTTACTGATACCAATAGCATGTATTTAAGCCATAAGGAAGCAATGTATCAGCGTCTTATTGTTTGTCTCTATTAAGCTCAATCTGGGACACCTGACCTGGTTCGTCATGGAGACATCATTAGACTCGAGCACGTAGAGTACGTACAATGACTCCACAAAGCAGTACAATGAAACCTATTGTTAATTGTCCATCGATTTGAATCCAATGTCATTCTTATCCAAATAATGTGCGTGTATTTACAGAACAACCCGTAACCTTCACAGTCACCTCCATGAGGCCCCTCTGACCAAGAAACACTTCCAGGTTACAGGATATGGCATTGTGAGTACACCCATAACATTACTTCTTTTCACCTTACGGCTCTTTACATTTGAAGGGTGACATGTAAGAAGACCTCAGGGTGAAGTTTTCTTTTTTGATGCCAAACAGTTAATGGCCTTAGATTCAAGATTCAAGGCTTTGAATGTGCACAGTAGCCACAGTGTAGACATGGCAATGAAAAAAGTCACAGGTTCCTCCAATAATGCAACATGAATATATATAAGACATAAAACAAATACAATTATGAAAAGCACACAACGAAGTAAGCAAACACTGAAATAAAACGAAAAATAGGCAGAGTTGGAGAGGAGCCAAAGACACGGCAGCCATCATCACCGGCACCATCTTATCATCATCATTATTATAGCGCATTAAAAGCGTATTACATTCTAATTGCATGCCATTATATGCCGTATTTGTATGTCCTCAAGTCTAAAAACACATCATCACCTTTGGCCTCTTTTTAGAATGGCACGGGTGACAAAAACGACCTGTGGCAGGTGGAGGTGTGTGGAGGCCGTAAGGGGGACCTGGTGAAGGTGCTGCGTAGCAAAGTGCGCTTCCTGCACCGAGCTACCGGCTGTGTGCTTTACTCCTCTGGAAAGACTCTCCCAAAGTGGTAAAAAGAAAGTTTAGACTGCTCCTCCTTTTCTATTCAAGATGCGTCATGTGTATAGACAGTCAAGGACACCGTTTCCCTTCTGTTCAGGGGCTGGGAACAGGTGGAGGTGACCTGTAGTCCCTACTTAAAGGAGACTCCCAGCTCTCAGTGGAACATTGAAGATCATATCAACCCCAGCTGTAAGAAAAACATACAATTCTTGGTACTCCTATGATCTTTTCTACTCTTCATGATGTTAAACACTAATCAACGTAATCCTTTTCCCCCTCTTTCAGTGCCCAACATTAGTTTGTCTGTGCTGAAGCCCCATTTCCTGGAGATCTTACTGGAGTCCCACATTGTGATGATAAGAGTAAGAAACGGTGACAATCCGTCAGTGCGGTATGATTTTAATCAGAGACACTTTATTGACATAAAATGTGTCTTTTTTTCTAGGGTAACAGTGGCCTGAAACCCAAAGACAATGAGATGAACTCAAAACCCTGGCATTGGCCAGTCAACTATCAGGTGCGTTGAGTAATCTAGGGGTCAAATGTACATTTTTGGAAAACGTTAAAGCTTAATAAAATTAAAATACAAATGTTCTCGGTTCATTTCTGTAAAGGGTCTGAGGTTTTCTGGAGTGAATGACACAGAGTATCGTGTTTACCTGCTGGGGAACCCCGTAAGTCCATCTTAAACATGCCCCATTTTTTTCTGTTGTCACTCTTCCCTTAGAAAAACATGTTAATACACTCATGATTTTATACTTTTTTCTTTTAGGTGGTTTGGTGGATACATTTGGCTAGTTTGGGATTGTATCCTATCATGGCGGCAGTGGCAGCTATAGCCCTCAAAAGAGGTTTCTCATTGAGCCAAAAAAGAATAGGTATGATAATGGCCAGAAATACAGATACGTGGTAACTGAAGCATTTAAAAGCAAATATATGTGACAAATAATTGTTGTGTTCTCCACTTTGTGTTTCAGAGCATTCTCATGTTCTCATGAGAGAAGGAGGACTGCTGTTCCTCGCCTGGCTGCTGCACTATGCACCTTTCTATACGATGGGCCGTATCCTCTACTACCACCATTACTTCCCTGCAATGCTCTTCAGCAGCATGCTCACAGGTACCATTCATACTTTATTTTAGCTTCCTCCATTATATAGAACAAGAGGTCAGGGCCGCCCCTGGCTAACTTGGGGCCCCAAGCGATATTGTGAGATGAGGCCCCAACCGACAGGAGTGAAAACATTTTTTTGGAAACAAAGTAGGCCACTTTGCAAATATAATTCCTGTTTATTATTATTATCAACACAGTTACTTTTTTATACAGTGAGGTAAATGTGCATGTATGTTGTTCAGTATGCGTTTACAGGTGAATACGTCTGCGTTTCCTGCCAAATACTAGCCTCAAAAAGATTAAAATATACATTAATGCAAATAAACTACTTCTCACTATAATAATAATCATAATCAATTCACATAATAAATAGACCATATTATTATTATAATATAGTTGTAATATAGTCAAGACAAGAACATGCTATGATCATGCTCAAAAAACCTGAGTATTTCTAAACTCTGTATTCAAATTATGTTCCCTTCTGTCAGCAATGTATCAACAACTACAGATAATTTCATCAGTTAATTATCTGGTTGTGGTGACAATATGATGGACTGTTAGGAGTTAACGGGGGGGGCTGAGCATCACCCTACTGAAATGTGGCAAATTGACATAAAAATTGAATACAAAGGAAAAATGCTCCATGTTTTTTAGGCTGTAAAACTTTAAACTGTTTATGTAAGCCAAGTAGACAGTACAGTTTATCACTCTTCCTCCTGTACATTGCAGATAAGAAAGGCCATTTAACAGACTGAATGAACGTAAATAAAGAATGCTGACAATTAACTGCATCTCCATTAGCCTATATGCTATGGCAGAGAACTGCCTTCTTCATGTCTGTGAATTGCAGCTGATGTTTAATTATGGCAATTTTGGATTACAGTATACAACATTCGCAAGTGCACATTGACTTCATACAATAATCCACCTTCGGAGGTGATGCTCTAGTTTCTTCAGTTTTGTTTTTTTCCCTCTTGCTTGCGCCGGACTGAACTTTTCTTTCACACATCTCTATCACCTGCACTGAGTGGGCCGTATCAAAGCCGTGATTGGGTC